TGTTGTTGTTGTTGTTGTTGTTGTTGTTGTTGTTGTTGTTGTTGTTGGTTTGTTGGTTGTTGTTGCTTGTTGTATGCTTGTTGTTGGTTGTTGTTGGTAGTTGGTTGTTGGTTGTTGTTGGTTGTTGTTTGTTGTTTGTTGGTGCTTGTTGTTGTTGTTGTTGTTGTAGTAAATGTATGTTCCGTAGCGAATATTAGCTATATAGCTTTTCTGAGCGTTTGTGAATAGGGAGCCTCCTAGTGTAACTGTTTCCTCCTTTTCACATCGTTGGATCCTGAAAGTTGGCTCGTCAAGTACGTGTCCCACAACGAATTGCACAACACGGCAGGTCCAATCTCAGTACGCACCAGACAGATTTGTTTGCACCCCAAAAGTCACCAAGCAACTGCACTTCCTGTGGTTTTGTTACTGTATATGTCAGGATGGGGTGCCAGAACTCTTTCATCAACAGCTGAATCAGCAGTCGCTGCTTTGACCTACATACTAATATATTATAATTGACTCCACAACTGCTACTACTACCACCACTACCGCTACCACTACCACAACGACGCCTAGTACTCCTGCTACTACTGCTACTACTGGCGTTGGCACTACCTCAGGCTCCGGCGGCCGTTAAGGCCGTTAAGGACTGGCTGTCCACACTGGGGGGGGCTGAAGAAGGAGCTGTTATTTGATGGTGTAGTGCCAGCTATCAATAGAAATCCAATGGTCCACCTGCTGACAAGACTTTCTCATTCAGGTTTCCTTGGCTTAAGCGACATGGCTGCCAGGGCACTAATTTGTTGTTGGTCATCCACTCGTTGAACAGGTCTTTCGGAATGATATCCGTTTAAAACTATAGCCTGCAAAGACCTGCTATACCAGCATTTTCACTGCCAGGTCACCATTGAGACCTGGGGCCCAAGAATGAAGCTATGATTCATTCAAACCTACTGTGATTGTTTCCGTTTTGCGTCCTTGTTTCCCGCTCGCGGCGCCGATGGCGAGTGAAGGGGCATACGGGGATGCCACCGAGATCTCCATTGTTATCTCATCCTATCTCGTCATCTCCATGTCAATTAGTCGATGGCAGAGTTCCACTGCTTTGAGCATGTTTTTTCGCTGGCAGGAAAAGGAGGAGTTCATCCAAGCGTCCCGCGCACCCATTTGACTTGGGCCGGTGTGGACCACTTCTGAGCTTCAGCGGTTTTCTCTTTTTGTACCCTACAAGTCCCACGACCCAGTAAAACCTGGTCTTTTACCTCCTTCAGTATTGGTTTTGCATGACCATCTCCAGTAAAATGAGGTCTTTAACTTGCAGGGGTATTTTTGGGGGGGCGCGGGGTTCATCGTTTCTTGGGGCGTGCTGGGTGTCCTTCAGTTTTTTCAGACGAAGTGAGGAGCACACTCAGTCAATGTTCTAAGGCCAACAATAATCCGGTGACCCACCACCGTGATGCCTCGCTAATGACTCCACGTGATCGAAAAGGGATGGTATTTGGTCGCTCGATCGCACGCCACGGCGTCGATCCTTAAGAGAACACTGCGTCGCCACAGAAGAGGAGCTTGGATGACCTCTTTTTGCTTAAGGTGTTGTTTTTCCCTTATGCTTAAATCCCCTTCTGGTGAATATATTTTATTCGTCCAGGTTCGTTAAGAAAATCCAAGATGAGGATTGGATTGAATCCTTTTTGGATATGTTGTTGAGGATCTTTGATGAGGTGTTTCTTTCTTCTTACTTACTTGTCGTGTACTTTTCATTTACTGGAGCCTGCTCTGAAGAAACCAGCGGCTGATTTTAATGAAGAAACACTCTGAACGCTTCCCCGCTTTGAAGCTCACGCACGGGGTAGCCATCTCTACTTGAATCAAGATGCAGATAAACTGCACCTGGTGGATGTTGTTCTTCAATCGTCGTGTACTTGACAGTCAACTAATGCTTCCTAGAGGTCTAGATGATCTAGGGGAAAATTATCCAGCCAACAGGCAGCCACCAAAAGCAAGATGACGGTGGTCGTAGTTTTCGGTTCTTCCTACTGCGGGATATTATTCCCTACACCTCCAACCATATCCTCAGAAGGTGGTTAGACCCCTCAAACCCACCCCAACCACCTTCTCAAGAGTTGGTTGGAGCCCTAGGGATTGCCGAGTAACCAATCGTGATTGTAACACCTGGCACTGTTGCTGAACAGGATTTTTACGAAGGAAGCTGTCAAAGAAAACCGTGTCCCAGAACCCAGAACAGACTCTGGCCCAGCACCACAGAAAGGGTGTGAGTTGAAAGGAACGTGCATAGTCAGGGGTGTTTATGAAGCAAAACGTTGCCCTCGCAGCTGGCTCGATTTTTCGGCAAAACGAGCAGATTCCAGTCAGGTCGTGGGCCACCAGGAAGGCTAGGACATTCCATTGAGTTGCCTAACTGCTTCAACACACACTGAGGCTAGCCATCTCAATAGCCTTCGGTCGGAATGAGTGACTGCGATACTACCACCAGTTTGCAATCACCAACCAGTTTGCGCCCTTTTGAAAACCTGCACTGCCAACAGAACTGCCCACTAAACCAGAAGCTGCCACCTGAAAACATACTGAAACAGACGCTGCCCACCAGAACACTTCCAGTTCCCGGCTCTTCTCGGGTGCGGTACGAGAACGAAACGGGGCCGACCGTCCCCCAAGGCCGTCGACTGCCTCCGGCAGTCTCCGATTTCTCAGCCCCACAGCCTCCAGCGTCCCACTTCCGGCTTCCAGCAGCGAGCTCGTCGCGGAACCCGCCATGGCGTGAAAGTTGGCCATGCAGAGAGGCCCTGATCTTTCAGGGCGGAAAGGTCCGTCGAAAGGCCAAGCTTCAACCGTTTTGGAGAATTTGGGATTGATTTGGAGGGGTCAATTGAACTATACAGTGTACAGGTTTGGACACATGTTGGATCCCTTGTTATGCTTGTCAAATTGCGATAAATTGCGATTTCATAATCTTCGAACTTCGAACTAATTAAAACCCCGCCCGATTGAGGAACATATTCATCAACCAGTTTCAAATGTTGAGTTTGGCCAAGTCAGCACCACATGGTCTTCTTCATCCGGAGGAGAAATCTGTTCTTCTCAAGAGCAGAAACGACCTGTTTGGAACTGGCGTTTGGTACCTACGTTGGGGGGGTTGACTTGGTGTGTCCCATGGATGTCCTGGCTGGACTACTCTACTTAGTAGATGTCCATAGCCACCACCCAGGTCCGGTGTGGAGTGGGCTGGGTGAACCTGCGAGTGGAGGCTATGTGACCAAATGGCTGGTGCATCGGAATTTTGGCTTCCTACAGCCCGAAGGCGGGTCCGATGCGCCCGTCCGGCCCCGGAGCTTCACCCACGGGGAACGGAACAAGGTGGGACTCACCCAAACTGGTTTCTGCGATGATTTGCCATAAAGGGTGAGGGTGTTTTCTTCCCCCATTCTTGGCACTGGGTCCATCCATGTGAATCGCCAGGATCCTGGCCAATACGTGTTACATCGTGTTACTACACGTGCCTTTTTCACAGGCCTTTAAACACAGTTCCGGCATGGACCCGCACAGGGAACTCCATCGACACAGCGACCCCAGAAACCCGCAAAACCAGGACGGACTGCCGAGAAACGGCCACGGGTGGTGCCATGGGGGTCAATGGCATCCACAGGTCTGAAAGAGTCCAAGGACCATGGAGTTGCAGGACTTGCTGAAGTCCAAGCTTTATCCAGTCAGGACTTGGTACCTGGACCTTCTTTCGCGGTGTCCTGGATCGTGGTCTCTGATCGTGGTGTAGGGGCGAAACCAGACAGGTGATCCCTTTCAAGGAGTTGGTAGAAGAATCAACTTCCGATCTTCGGAGGATTTTGGGGGACGCCTACGAAAGTTTGAATCTTAAGAAGCGCCCCTTGGGTATACCAAGAGAGGTTCAAGAACCCTAGTTCGGCTATCCCAGGAACCGGTACCCTGGTAGGGTCCTATTTACGGTCACTTCACCTCTGTTGGTATCCACCCCCAAAAAAGGAGCACTGCACCACCCGCAGCGCCTTCAAGGCTTCCATGAGGCGAGATCATTGCATGGACGCCCCGAATCAGTTCAAGGCCCCACTGACTGAGCATGAGGAAGCTGGCCTGGCACCCACCCGTCCAGCTGGCCTTCCGGGAAGACCAGAACCACAAAAACTGCTAAATGCGAAGTGACTTCCTGGTTTTGGAGGGTCCAATCCTGATACTGAGCATGGTGGTTTGGGATGTCAAGGCTATCAAATCATCCCCGTTGCGTATCTAATCTTGACATGAGCTTTGCTTCTATAACATCTCTCGTTCTTCATCTCGCAGGGGCCATGACCTCCGGAGAAACCCATGGTTTCTCGGCATCCATCCCGGGCGGAAGGTGGAGGACCCGGTCCGACTCGAGGTGGTGGTGAGGATGTCTTCGTGCACGGCTCGGTCTTGAGGGACGCCACGGCCTTGGCGGCAGGCGCTCGGGTCCACGGCGAGGGGGCGATGAATGGACCTACCGACCATACCTGCCGTTCCCAGGGGACCGCCAGGAGCACCCCGATGTGGCGTTCTTGTTCCTACGGTTTTTCCAGGTTTTTTTTCCTTTTTGATCTTTTTTTTTGGGGGTGCAGGTCCAAGTGCCAGGGGTGCGGGTCCTGCCTTTGGGGCAAGCATCCAAGCAACTGATGAAGAATCCACATCTCGTCCCCTACCGATCTGGCCCAAAATCATGTGGAGTTACCTGTGCAGTGGGGCAAACCCTGGCGCCAAGCATGTTGTTTGAAATCATGGGGAGGCTGCACCTGGAGTCTACACGAATGGTTTCCTCCAAAATCCTTTGTTGCCGGTCGAACATGCGCCAACAAAAGCCCTACTCAGTAACAAGAGAAGGCTGGTCATGTTTGTCCACCCTAGTCCAACAACTGCTGGTGCCTGGGCCTCCACATCTTCCAATGATTCGCGGAGCGCCTCATATCCAGAGAGAGAGGGAGAGAGAGAGCCATGAGACTGGAGGTGTAGGGTCCATAACATTCGGTGCACAGACCTTGTGTTGGCTGACATGAAGCAGCTGTTTGATCGGACTCCCAAGGCAACCCTTCGCCGATTTGCACCGAACGTGAAACGTTCACCGAAACCTCGCCGTTTCGGTGGCTGAACCGCTGAACCGTTGCGCCGATGTTCGGATGCTTTACGGATGTTTGCGCGGCTTCGCGCGAGCTTCGCTGCCGAAGCAGAGTGTGGCGAATTCAGGTGACCGGGTGGAGTATCAGCTGGCAGGCAAGGGAGCGAGACTTGGTGGAATTACTGCCATCACCCGAAGAAAGCGGATAAGGAACTTGGAGAACGAAGGATTCCATACACTCCAGACCCAGACACGACGATCCATGGGACTGCCATAGGACTGCCGCCCCAGACAGACCCTGGCGCCACTCCAACTGATCGGCATATATTCCAGTCCCATGGAGCGTTTGGGAGATGGCATCAACATGGTTCGGACGCCACCTCTGAAAGACACACCTGCCATTCTAGAAGTCACGTTCGGGCCCGGGGTGCTGTTGGGTCCCATCCAGTGAGTGGATGTTCTGGGCACCCCGAGCTGCGACTGGGAGCGGAGGTAGGATAGAACCATTTCGACAGCTTGGGAGGCACCAGGGAGGCAGGAAAGGATCAATTGGACAGCCTGCAAGGCACCAGGGAGGCACCAGGGACCCATGGAACTTCCGGAGCAGCGACTGGGAGCGGACGGAGGGAGTCGCTTGAGTCGAGTCGAGTCGAGTCGAAGATCGGACGCCCAAACCGACGGCGCCGAGCGGCAGAGCCCGACCCCCGAGATGTTGTGCTTGATAGTTGTGTGGGCTCGAACCACCTCCTGAGAAGATGGTTGGGGTGGGTGCCAGGGGGGTCTAACCACCTTCTGAGGATAATTATGGTTGGAGCCCTAGGGAATATAATAGATTCTAGGACCCACAAGGGGTGGTTCATGGACACCCCTTAACCTCTAAGGGGCTATCAATAGACACCCCTGGCCCGGATTGGATCTGGTCTCTGAAAGAGCATTTTCCGGTGATGTATTTATGGTACTTTCTGGAATTGGTCTCTGAAACTTGCATTTTCCCGAACATCTCTATGATGAAAAACCATGTTTTGGCGGAATAACCTCCACCCTCCACCCTCCTCCACCCTCCTTGTCTCTGAGAAAGCACCGGAATTCTCACACTTCACCTCCACCCTCCTTGAGCTTGGAACCATTGACGTTTGGACTGGGATTCTGCAGGTTCCCAGAGCCTGGCTATCGGGGATGGTAGCGGGCAGGGCGATTGTTTCGTTCCCTCACATCAAACAACAGCGATCTCGTACTGTTCCCCGAAAGGCTGGGCAGAGAAGGGAGAAGCTTTTTGTTAAAAGACACCCCGAAAGAAGTCAAATTATTTTTTGCTTACTGAAGCAGAGGAGATTCTTCTTCGGGTCACCTAAGGACCATGTACTAAATTGTTTTGGATTGCTAGAGTGGCCCTTGATGTTGACCGTGGCTCAAGCCTACACCTGTCAATTCTGAAGGCGCTGCAATGCAGGTGACGGCTGTGTCTGGCAACACGGTTGCTCAGCTTGATGAGGATGAGCTGCATTACATGGTGGAATGCGGGCAATCTGTTCGAGACCTCAAGCGACGTCTTTCAGCTCAGGTTGGGTGCTCAAGGTTTCAGCAAAGACTCTTCAGTGATGAGCTTGGAGAATTGGAGGATGACTTGGCTCTACGAACACTGTCAAGTGTCCAGCTGGTAGTTCTGCCCTTGTGTGCCCGTGATGAGACCATGGAAGAAGAACTGACCTTAAGCTGCGAGGCGAATAATGTGGCTGAGATTGAAAGGCTTCTTCAAAAGCCAATGGACCCAAACGGGCGCGGTTCAGTTTGTACTTTGCACTTTGCAGCCGAGAGTGGCTACTTGGAAGTTGTACGATTGTTGCTCGAGGCTGGAGTTGACAAAGATGCAGCAAATTCAATTGTTGGTAATACGGCTTTGCACTTTGCTGCCGACGAAGGCCACTTGGAAGTTGTGCAATTGTTGCTCGAGGCTGGAGCTGATAAAGATGCGGCAACGAAAAATGGTTCAACCGCTTTGCACATTGCAGCTCGGAATGGCCACGTGCAAGTTGTGCGATTGCTTCTCGAGGCTGGAGCTGACAAAGATGCAGCAACGGCTTATGGGGTGACGGCTTTATACATTGCAGCCGAGGGTGGCCGCGTGGAAATTGTGCTGTCATTGCTCGAGGCTGGAGCTGACAAAGATGCAGCAAATTTTGATGTTTCAACGGCTTTGCACATTGCAGCCTGTAAAGGCCACTTGGAAGTTGTGCGCTTGTTGCTCGAGAATGGAGCTCACAAAGATGCAGCAGACACAGACGCCTGGACGGCTTTGCACATTGCAGCTCAGGAAGGCCACTTGGAAGTTGTGCGAGTGTTGCTGGAGGCTGGAGCTGACAAAGATGCGGCAACGAACAATGGATCAACCGCTTTGCACATTGCAGCCCAGGACGAACAGCCAAGAGTTGTGCGATTGTTGCTCGAGGCTGGAGCTGACCAAGATGGAGCAGACATCAGCAGATACAGATGGTGATACGGCTTTGCTCATTGCAGCCAGTAAGTATGGGCCACTTGGAAGTTGTGCGACGGTTGGCCGTACAGCGAAGCATGGCCATTTTGCCTTCATTGAAGTGCTCCTTCGGCTGAATTTTGGGGCTCCAGCTTTAGGAAGTTGCAGCAAAATCATCTTACTTCAAAAAGTCACCTTCAAAATCATTGCTTCAAAAAGATCTCCCAGCTTCTTCACTCTTCCCGACTGGTCGGACGTCCACCGAACGACCTTGAGGTCGCGAGTCGAAGTCGGTCGACTCGCGACCGAAGTCCACCGGCCGTGACCGGCCGAAGTCCACTCGCAACCAGCACATCTTCGGTCGAACGGGTACGACGTGACGGTTCGCCCGTTGCTTTCCACCCGTTTTTCGTTGGTCTTGGACCGTGACTTGCTGCCAGTGATCTGTATAGACGGGGAGCCCCCAACTCGGCGGGGTTTGAGCTCGGCTTGGAGCCCTGTGTTTGACGGGTTGATGCTTGGGCGAAGAAGCCTCACATGACATGGGTCCGCCTTCTTCACACCTTGGCACTTCTAAGAATTCTATTTGGTCAAATTCCCATGGACCCAACCTCAGAAGGACACCTGGACCGAGTCCGGTCGCACCCTGGGTCGAAGTCCGCCCGGTACGATCACCCAAGTGGATCCGGTCCCTCACTCGAGCTGTGGACTGCCGACCAGGCCAGGGGTGGTGCCAGGGGGGTCAATGTTTGGGACTTGGATCAACCCAGGAATGGCGCCAAACCGACAGCCTCGAGCTGCAAACGGATCGAGAAGGACTGATTCCATGGGGCGTTGACCTGGGGCTCGCCCGAGCGAGCCCGTGATGAGGGCGACTTCCCTATTAGACACTCCATGCACATGTATGGTATGTGTATTACGCCATTCTACACATTAAGCGTCGTTGACCTGGGGTCAATGTATATAGGCCGGAGGATGTTCCAGCCCCATGGAGTACGGATGTTCCAGCCCCCATGGGTCAAAACCTGAAGCCCTGATGGGATTTGGCTCGGTCGACCCGCATGTTCGGTCAAAGCGATGCATGGTTTACCGGTTTGAACCTTTACATATCCCAGACGCTCCATGTATACCATATATATGTGCCTTATTGTGCCTTGACCCCCCAAAACCCTCCCAAATATATGGCAGTCCCATGGAGTGTTTGGGTATTGTTCCTCCTGTTTCGCACTGACTCCCGCGGTGGGTCCAGACGCAGATGTGATATAGATCGATCATCGCGCGCTTGAGTTGTGCATGAGGATGTGATCCTATTTTGCTGGTTTTTGGTGTTTTTGCAGTTTATTTTCCCACATCAAATTCCCTTCTGGGGAATATTTCTTCCAGGTTCCTTAAGCAATTCCAAGTTTTGGATGTGCCAATGTTCGGAAGCGCGAGTGTTTGTTCAATGCTTCGGAGTCGTCCAGGATGTTCCTGCCTAAAATGGTCGGAGCAGGGCATGGCAGGGCCCCGGTTTTGAAGGAGGTGAGACTGGATGACTGCCCCCCGGAGTTGAGACATGTACCTGAACCCGACTTCAAGTAGCGTGGAACATGGGGCATGACATGACCCTGGCGGGAACTGAGACTCCACTTTCCAACTTACGAACTGAGACTCCAGATAATTAGTAGATATATATATATATTATATAAATATACATAATATATATATATATATATTAGTCAGCAATCATTTGGGATCACTCGGTGCAGCCTCATTGTTATTTCCCGCTCCTGCGGCCTTAGGCAGGTTCGGAGAAGAGCTCCGGCCTTGTTGGGCCCTGACATGCCCTGACTTGAGCTATTTGGTGAATTGGATGTATTCGAGTTCCGTCTCATACAAATTCTATATATACCATTATATACCCTACAATTCAAAGTCCTCATTTTACTGGAGATGGTCATGCAAAACCAATACTTAAGGAGGTAAAAGACCACATTTTACTGGGTCTTTGGACTTGTAGGGTATATATATATATATATCTAACCCAACCAGTGCAGATCTGTCATACCAGGATCTTCCCGGTGACCTAGCTCCTTGGTGTTGGTGACTGACTGTGACCTTTGTCACCAAGCCTGTGGGTGACCAAGCATACCAACCAGGGGATCAAGTTCGGTCACTGGGACGTTCTAGTTATACTTTATGTCCCTCAACTTGTCCCTCAACTTGCATCATCTGACTTGTTCATTCATTGAGCTCGAGACGTCACTTGCTTCAGAACTGCACGTGGCGTTTTCGCATGTCGGTGTTGTTTCCACGTCCAAGAGGGCCGAAGGTTCGGCCCAGAGGAGGTGTTTTTCTCCCACCCTAAGAATCTGCTGTCCCAGGTGGACTCTCCATGGCAGGGGTCGGCCTCAAACCCTATCTGCTTCGGGCCCGGATTCCTATAGGGCAACTTCCAGGAGTCACACAGGAGTGGTGACGTCGTCCCATCCAGCCGTGAGTGTTCGGCCTCCCTTCTTCCTCCAGCCTCGCACCAACGGACATGCGGATCGTCCATGGCCAGAAGGCGCCAAGGGAAGCAGTGACGAAGAGCCTTGCTTTAACCCAGACGCTGCATGGGACTGCCATATATGCCTACATTGGCCCCTCTGGCACCACCCCAACTGATCGGCATATATACCAATCCCATGGAGCGTTTGGGTAAGGGGCATGTCCCCCAAATCACAGGCACGCACCGAGGCAGTGCTCAGAGCTATCCCTTTTCGCACTGACGGTGCCTCAGTGGGTGCCTTTCATGTATCCCTAGGGTTCCAACCACCTCCTGAAGAGATGGTTGGGGTGGGTGCCAGTGGGGTCTAACCACCTTCTGAGGATATGGTTGGAGCCCTAGGGTATATTGGAGAAGGGAAGAATGCTCGAGAACATCGCACAGAATCCACTCACCAGACTGAGTCCATGCTGGATGTCGAAAAAATGATGTGGGCAACATGTCGTTGAACCATCCAAATCCGTTCCGAGTCTGCAGAAAAAAGTTACACTCTTTTCTGCCAGGTGCCATTCGTTCTACAGACTCAGTTTGCTTGCGAGTGTTGAAAAAATACCGCAAAAGTGGGTTGGAGAAGCAGTGGGCTGGAGAAGAAGTGGTGCCCCCACAGATCTCATGCGATGAGTTGGCACGTTTGTTCATGTCTGTATATCTTCTCATCCAAAGCCCCGGCCTATTGCCATAGCCGGCCATGGCCATCCGCCAGTCACAGGGCCTAACTCGCGATTGATCGCAGATCGAAATTTTCGGATTGTAATCCTATAGGGTCGCTTCATCTAATGATGTGCGTTTGGTTTGTTTGCAACCTCCCGCATCATCCCAATCCCTATGCGTGACCGATTTCGGCCATATTTACACCACTCAAAAGACTGCGAAAGCAGCAGAGATCTTCTACTTCGTTCCACGCCAGCCGATGCATGACATGTCGCGATCTTCGACACATGCAATGACAGTCGACGCTCGCGAGTTGGAAGAGCGGAACGACTGCTCCAAGATTGCTCATGATGCGCTCGGTCCACTAGCTTCAGCATGTCTAAAGCTTATTCTGCTTGTGGGTTCGATGTGGCTTAAGCATGCAGCAGCTGCACACGGGTGGCTGAAGCGCGACCATGTTGAAGAGGGCTTCTCGTGAAGAAACCCTGTTAAGACAACCTTTTTTGCGTTTGCACATGTTTGCACACAAATCACGAAAGGTAGCTTGAGCTACCTGAGTTCTCCTTGCTTTAGCAAAAATGTATTACAATCAGGAGTTGGGATTGTGCATTGAGTTTGGTCCTGTAAGAGTTGATTCTGTTTGGTGGGGGGGGCCCTCCCTGGATCAAATCCCCCCTGCGCCGGTTCACGCTGTCATGGACTTCTACCAGGGTTACTTGTGATTGCCTGCTACCTTTCTTTCACCCCCTCCTCTCTCAAGTGTGTTTGACAGATGCGACGACTGTTTTATCCTAGGGTGTGTATATATATATATATATCATATCAGTGTATCATGGGACGACGAAGCCTTGACACTTTTTGCCGGTGTCGAAATTGCTTCCCTTCCCCACAAAATTCGAGGCCACTTACGGCCCCACCTTCCCAAGAGTATACATGCCATGTTAGGTCAGCGTGCTGTCCATCAGTGATGAAAAAAGCGGGGGGCTATCGAACGCTATTTGGCGCTATGCTATAACTGTGGAAAACTATGGGCAAGCATCACCATCCATGCTGAGGAATTTTGTTCCACTGCGACGATGGCCGGTGCCAGAGTTGTCATGGTTTAAAACGGTTTTCCATATTGATGCGCATGATAGCTTCCTGCTATCCTAGAATCTATATATGCAACAACAAGTCCAGCACTCCCACCAGTCACTAATCCCACCAGTCAATGTGTTCAATAGTTGCGGGTCCTTGACAATGCTGGCACCTTGTTTGCACACAAAGCCGCTGATGCAGCCAAGTGGTTGTACAAAACGTGTAGCAAGTGTCGATTCTATTTGCTTTGCAGATTTTGCTGGCGTGTCGTATCTCGCGGCACATCGGCGGCACATGAACTCGAGAACTCGATTTTTTTTGCGTTATCCGAGGCGCCCAACCGGCGGACGACCCAGTCCGCATGTCGGTGTTGGTTTCGCACGGACGGGCACAGGATCCGCGGACGGCCTATGCGTTCCCTTGCGCGGACTGGATGACTTCAGTGGGGGAGTTCCTCAAGACTGCAGGCGCGAAGTGGGTGGAGGTGTTGTTCAAAACAGTGTGTGTAGAGATTAAAACGTGCACCTGAAAAACTGCATCACAGCTTGGGTTAGATGGTGAGATGCTTTGGGACCTATGATCAGAGGCAAACGGAAAGGTAGTGCCCAGAAAGGGTTTTGCAAAAACCTATTCTACTAACATCGTGGAAGGCGTGGGACATTCGTAGAACCCAAGGCTATTCGTGGACAGTTCGTGGAATGGTGGGCCAGTAGGAGAACTGACTGCAACGAAATTCCAGAAACCTTCGCAGAACTTCGTGGAAGGTATTTTTGATGCACTAACTTCGTATAAGTGATTTTTGCTGACCCCCTTTCTCCACACACCCTCCATTTAGCCTTCATATGACCGGGAAATTGTTATACCGCAAACATAGCCCATACCTTGGGAACTTATTTCAGGGGGTACCGCGAGTTGCTGGAATAATTGGTTCTGCATGGAATAATTTCCCAGTAGAGGTATCGGGGGATGGTACCTTATGGTAGGCCAGAAAAATGATCACAAAGAGGCGATGAAATGGTTGTATACAGAACGATGCCAAATCATACCGTTCATGTCGGTTTTCTTGTACCTACCACGACCATCCTTCTCCACCATGTCGTTTCGGGTGGTCACAACTGGAGTGCTGTGCTTGCATCATGGTGAAGCTGGCTCAGGTGATCCTTGGGCGATGCGGCGTGCGTCCCTTGTATCATGGTGAGCCAATCCCTGCCCTGCTTCTGAACCTTCCTGGCCAAGAAATGACCTCTCTCAGCACCTTCTCCTTGAACAGTTACGTTGTCCAGGAAGGATTCCAGGAAGCCTTCCTGCTTCTCAATCTCCCCCCAAAAACCGTGGACTTTCATTGACATCCATTTACATTCCCAAGTGGAAGGTCTCAGGAATATGTTGTTCTTTTTCCTGCCGGTATTGATCTGTGCCAGTATGCTAGGGCATGGGCTATCCGCTATCACCTTGGTCCCCTTGGTCCTCCCTCTTCACCTGGTCCCCTGGATCTGTGACTTCGTTGTTTTCGCGTGGGTGGTTGTTCTTCATGCTCTGAGACTCGAGATTCCCCCCAACATAAACCCTACACCTTCATCCTTCCACCCTACTAGATGGACCCTACGTTTGGACCCCCTTTCGTTCGTTTGGAACACCCCTTCATCTCCATTCCTTCTTCACCCCACGAAGCCCGCCTCGGGTCGTTTCCACCGTCGCGTCCAGGCGTCGGTGCTGCGGAGCTGGAGCGCACCGCCCAGGTGATGTGCCTCGGGCGACGAAGCCGGAGGGCGGGGGAGTCGGGGGTGAAGAACCAGAGAAGACCTGGTTTTTCAAAGTGACCGAACTTGATATTGGCTGCATGTTCAGAAGGGCAACCGCGTCCAGAGCCTCAGTTGGCCCGGGGCCAAGCCTGGGGCCCAGGAGGATGGAGCCCAGTGGATCTGGTTCAACCAGTTCCCATTGCCCTAGGGCCCTAGGGCTCCAACGAAGGCAATCAAATAGGCCAGGGATGGAATGTTGGAATGCCCTACACCTCCAAGTACCTCCTACTTCGGGGGTATTTGAAGGGAAGATCCTTGAGATGTTTTTTTTTTGGTTTTCTCGTTCAAAGACCTCTTCTTCCGGGGAAGATGTGTTGGTCCCCGGGAGAAATCTAAGTCCCTGTTTTTGAATCACGGGGCCTTATAGTAATTTTCTCACCAGTTTGTTTGTCGTCCGGATTTGGGTGACCTTCCTGGAACTGGGGAAATGCTTGAGACTGTAGCACATCAGCTAAACCATGCACATCCGATATTTTTGATATGGTTCTTGATTACCATCCAGTGACTAAGTAGGTGCACGCGACTTGCGGTGGTGTTTCGGTGTGGAAACAACTTCCCTTTGACGTCCTTTCCAAACCCTACTGGGGGACCCATTAGGATAGCCTATAGGGTTCTTCAACCTCTGCTGGTGAAACCATACTTTTTAGGCCTTCCGCGGCGGGCTCCGATTCTCACGCCAGTCCGATCCGCTCTCAGCTCCGCACGTGGCGTCCCCGTCCCAGGGCGCCGTTCATCACCTACAGCTCCGTGCGCTGCCCCTTCCTGGTGATCTCGCAAGCAGGCGACGCGCGAGCCGCGCGGCGCGCGGAGCAGACGCGACGCTGTTAGGCCACCGTGGACCGAAGCGCCGGTGGACGCGAAGCAAAGTGTATGGAGCGATGGAGAGGTATGGAGGCGACCCCAAGCGATGTCCGGAGGTCATTCCTTTGACACGACCTATGGGACTGACAGACTGCCGAGAAACGGCGGTGGGGAAGACCTGAATTGATCGGCGGCAGTCCTATGCCAGTCCCATGGAGTGTTTGGGTTTGGAGGAGGTTCGAGGCACAGCTGCACCTCTTCATGCACCAGTCCTTTGATCCATCGAACTCAAGAGCCAGTCCTTTATCTTCATCAAAACCATTCTAGAGACATGGCCAGACGGGAGCTTCGACTCCAAACCGTCCTTGATCCACGGGCCCCGGTCTTCCAAATCGAACTTCCAAGCTGTTGGGGTTTTGGTGCGTAGCCTTGAGCTCATGGTGGGTGCTTTTGGGTGCACGTAGCCGACAGGTTGCTCCCAGGTGCTCCAGGTCCGACTCAAAGACCTCCAAGGATCCATCCACGCCCCAGGCCTCTTGGAAGGCATGCGAGCCCCAAATGCCAGCGAGTTGTCGATCCTGCTGAAGTTGCTGGTGGCCTATGCTCAGGGATGCCGCCCGGACGAGAAAGTGCTACACAGAATCATTGGACTCGCTTGGACTCGGTATATCTTGTACTATTGAGTACTGATTCGGGATGCTAGTGGGGAGGCCGATTGTTTCGTTGAGATCCCTCACATCAAACAACAGCGAGCCGTACTGTTCCCCGAAGGGCTGGGTACGGAAGGGAGAAGCTGTTGTTTTTTGTAAAGACACCCGGAAAGAAGTCAAATTATTTTTTGGTGACTGAAGTAGTGGAAGTTATTCTTCGGGTCACCTAAGGACAATTTGTTTAATTGTCTTGGACTGCTAGGGAATATATATGGTGTATATAGGGCCTTGATGTTGACCATGGCTCAAGCCTACACCTCTCAATTCTGAAGGCGCAGCAATGCAGGTGACGGCTGTGTCTGGCAACACGATTGCTCAGCTTGATGAGGATGAACTGCATTACTTGGTGGAAAGTGGGCAATCTGTTCGAGACCTCAAGAGACGTCTTTCGGCTCAGGTTGGGTGCTCAAGGTTTCAGCAAAGACTCTTCAGTGACGAAATGGGCGAATTGGAGGATGACTTGCCTCTACGACCACTATCAAATGTCCTGCTGGTAATTCTGCCCTTGTGTGCCCCTGATGAGACCATGGAAGAAGAACTGCTCACAAGCTGCGAGGCGAATAGTGTGGCTGACATCGAAAGGCTGCTTCAAATGCCACTGGACCCGAACGGGGAAGGTTTGGTTCTTGCTGCCGAGGTAGGCCACTTAGAAGTTGTGAGATTGTTTCTCGAGGCTGGCGCTGACAAAGATGCAGCAGATACATTTGGTTGGACCGCTTTGGACTATGCAGCCAGGCATGGCCACTTGGAAGTTGTCCGATTGCTGCTTGAGTCAGGAGCTGACA